TCCATTTACTTTATTGTTCTTGATTTAGATTCTTCTTTTTGTGTGTTATGTTTGTTTTGTTTCTGTGCTTGTAAATTAAAAAAAAACCAATGGTCTAAAAATAATACATAAAGTAGATACTTAAATCAAGAATGATTGAAATCTACATTAAATTATAATTATACAATGATAATATGTATAAAAGTGCCTCTGAAAATGCATAAAATAAAAATAACTTTTCCATGCTGGAAACAAATTGCATCACTTTAAGAAAAACTTAAATGTGTTAATTTAGACTCCCAACTTATACTAATTATCTGGGATTAAATACAGTTGAACCTCTGCTATTAGGGTCACTATTGATGATATCTTCATATATAGCCAGTTTGAGTTTACCACCTGCCCTCTGAGCAGAGATAAGCAGTTTTTTACCTGTCTTTAACAAAAGACAGTATTACATTATCCTTTTCAAACTGTCCGTTGCTATCGTTGCACCGATATTATCAGTGATATTGGCTGCTCTGATTGCATCATTAGAAAGTAAGATAGAAAGTACATTGTTGTTACTAGCATCCAGTTAAAATAATAAGAATGTAGTAACAGAATTTTTGCTGGCACCCACATAATCTGATCAGAATCATTTTAAAGTAGAGGTAATGGGTTAAGAATCTGTCTTAGTCATTCTCATAGAATTAAATCTGGTAAGAAGGGAGAAATACCCATTTATAAAATCGCTGTGAGCTACAGACATGGCTACATAAAAAGCACAAAAAACACAAAAACCCAGAATGTTCATTACTCTCAATAATTTTTTGTAAATACCTTTAAGTATTCCTAAAATTAGGCATTCCTAAAATGTGCAGTTTTCCAGGTTGCTTTTCTCTTCAAGAATTATTTTTAAATTAAAAAAAAATTAAAAATGTAAAAAAAATCAGATTGAGCAGGGAGCTGGCAATTACATTGAGAGAGATGTGTGTGATACCTAAAACTGGAACAAGCTTTAAAAAAACAGGGCTCCATTTCCTCTAGTATTAACTTAGGAAAACAAAACAACTGTATTTTTTACCAGTATAATTAATATGACAACTTTCATAAAAATAGATGCAATGATTTTCTAAAATGCCCTTTGAATGTGAAACACTTCAAACAATGTGAAAAATTTAAGTTTCACTGATTTGTATAGTAACATGCATTGAGATTAATTACACATCTAACACTAAAAATCATTTCCCCCAATGGTCACAAAAAGTCAAAAACAATAATAAATCATAGGTTAAAAGCCAGACAAAGCAGAAATATTTGCAGCACTTCTAGCAGAGCCCAGAATAATAGGAAGCCACTCTGGAGAATTTATTCTCATTAAGCATTTAATCTGAGACAGGAAATCCCATCTTTCAAAATGCAGTCTTAGCATTACTTCTTGATATGTGCAAACATAGCCACATGAAACACTGGCAGTCTTTCCTTCCTTCAACTTTAGCTAAAGGTAATTATAGATGGAAATATTTTCATCAATAATTAGGCAAATGTATAATACTTAAAATTTATCATTGGTAATAAACTTTACCTTTTATTCTATCAGTTTCAACTATTTTAAACAAGAATTTACATCTTTGGCGAGTAAAACAGCAACTTGTCAATGCTTCAGCTTCAGAAACATCTCAAGTATGGTTTCCAGTAGGAAAGGAAGGAAGGAAGGGAGGGAGGGAGGAAGGAAGGAAGGAAGGAAGGAAGAAAGGGAGGGAGGGAGGGCTTCTTCAACTCTTAATCTCTCATTCTGAGTCTATACTACCCAATATGAATTTGTATCCAGTACAAATGCAATCTAATTTAGCTACTATACATCTAATTTAGCTTTTAGGGACTATGTATCAGTGTAGTTTCCATGCAAGTTAAGGTGCATGAATTTTTATTTGTATCTAAGCGAGAAAAATATGTTAAATTTACATATACAGAAATTCAATCAGAACAAGAAAAAATTTAACATCTTATCTGAACCTCTTTTGGTATAAAATTCTTCAAAATAATTTACACATTGAGAATGTAGGAGACATTCTGCTCTGTCCTTTTGTTGGATCAAAGCAGAGTCACCTTGTCCAGCATAATGTATCTCTTCTTGGTCAACCAGATACATTTGAGAAACTCATAAATATGGATGGAACAGCAACAGATCTCTTTCATTGTTGCTCCCCGCTGCAGCCACTTATCATGCACAGTTTCCAGAGGTAGTCCATAGCCATCAAGTAGTAACCATTGATAGTTCGGTCTTTTATAAATTCAACTAGCCTTTTTTTTAAAAAATTGACAAAGCACAAAATTTGTTGGTCATCATCATACCTGATAGCAGTAAATTCAATATTGAAGTATGCATTGTTTACAGAAATACTTGCTTTATTAGTCTTGAAACTATCTGGATTTAATGACAATAAATGATTGTGTACTCTAACATTCTGAGAAAAACTATTCTCCCTAGCTGCATTTTTCTTACCAGGCATGAGTTTATATGTCTTTGTCATACCTTCCTTTAATTACTCTTTTTCCAAGTATAAAAGCCTCCGTTCCTATATTTCCTTGTAGGGGAATTAGTCTAGTTTCCCAATCATTTGTTCTGCATTGTTTCAGCTCTATAATATCTTTTTAAAGGTAGATTGCCCAAAAATACACTCAATATTACAAGTGCAATCATAATATAGATTTATATTAGGGAGCTATATAGACTAGTAATTTTATTTTCATTTCTTTTTCTAATTATTTGTCGCCTAAATTTGTTCTTTTTTCTTTTTACAAGTTACATTTTCACCATCCACTATAATTAATTATTGTAATTTATTATATATGTGGAGGGGTTTTATTTTGCAGGAATTATGCATAATTGTGCACTATCTTCATATAGTACTTTTCTTTTAAGAGAAAGAATGTTGGGCTTACCTGAAACGCATCTTCTAGTTTTACGGGAGGAGAATCCAAAGCGTGGGCTCTCTCCTGCTTCCTTGCTTAAAGAGGGAGTCAATCAAAGTTTAGTCCAGCTCCCTTTCCACTGCGCATGTCCAGTTTTTGATGAAGGCTGATGATTGACTTGGAGAGTTCTTTGGTGCTCGTTCTTGACCGTTCTGAGCTTGGGACTAACTATCTAAGGGTGGGATTTGTATTCTCCTCCCGTACAACTAGAAGATGCGTTTCAGGTAAGCCCAACGCTCTTTCTCAGTTGTACGGGTCAGAGAATACAAAGCATGGGGTGTACCCAAGCTAATTGTCCTGAGGGTGGGCCAACTCCTTGTCCCAAGCCCCCATCTCCGTGTGAACTCTTCTTCCAAAGGATGCTTCTGCTGATGCAAATGTATCCAGTTTATAATTTCTGATGAATGGAGATGGCAATGACTACGTTGCTGCCCTACAGATCTCTTCAATCGAGGCCTGTGTGTTCCATGCTGCTGATGTGGCTGCACTCCTGGTTGAATGTGCCATTATGTTACCCGGCAATTGCAATGATTGGCTTTCATAAGCTTTTGTGATACATGTCTTGATCCATCTGCCTATGAACTTGGTCTAAATGAAACGAACAATCTCTTAACAGTTCTCTTAATATAAATGTTATAGCTCTCCTAACATCCAAGGAGTGCCACTTCCTTTCTAGACTATGAACCAGGTATCGTTCGTACTAACTGGTCGTACTAACTCTTGTGCTCTATGGAACGTAGAATTGATCTTTGGGATAAAGATCGGGTCTAATCTTAATACTACCCTATTTGGGTGAACTATACAGAGGTCCTCCCTTATGGATAATGCTGCCAACTCTGAAATTCTTCTGGCTGATGTAATGGCCATTAGGAAGGCCACCTTGAGGGTGAGTGAAGGTAGTCCTACTGACCTCAGCGGTTCAAAGGGCTCAGTCATGAGCGCCCTTAGCACCCTTGTCAAGTCCCAAGTAGGGTACCTGTGTATCACTGGTGGCTTTAGATTGGTTGTTCCCCTGATGAACGTGCGGATTAGGGGGTGTCACGAGAGGAACACCGAGGTCCCGCAACCCAACACTGAAGCTATTGCTGCTACCAGCCTCCTTAAGGTGTTAGGAGTTAAATCCTTCTCCAGGCCTTCCTGGAGAAAATCGAGCACTTGAGTAACTAACATGGTGGTTGGATCTATTTGTTTCTTGGAACACCAGGTTCCAAATGCTCTCCAAGTAGCATCATAAATTCTGTTGGTTGATGGTCTCCTGGATGCCTGGAGTGTCTGAACATTACCATATTACCTTGTCTGAACACTCTAAACGCTTTAGTGTGGTCCTCTCAAGTGCCATATGTTTAGTTGCTCAGACCGGCCTGAGCAGGGACTCTAGCCTCCCTTTCTCCTGGGTAGGCTTGTGTGGCTCTGATGGATGCTTGCTCAGCCTAAGACTGAGTTTGCTCCCAATTAGAGAGAGCGCTGGAGGCTTGTGCGGCTTCTGGTTTGTTTAACGAAGGCTCTAGGAAAGGTGAGTTAAGTTGCTCTCCTTCTTTGCTAGCCAATCGAGAGCCCGCCCGCACTTACTGAGGCTGCTGCCGCTTGTTCTCTTAACACCAAACAGCTATGTGGGCTTTCCCATCTTGGGATGAGGTCCCGGCTCTTTTGCTTACTCACGGTTTGCTGACTTTCACTCTTTCTCTTTCTCTCTTTTTTTCTTGAAGAATCCAAAGTGTTGATCCTATATTTTCTATCTTTCTTTCTGAGCACTCTCTCCTCGTGTCCTCTTTGCATGAAGACAGAGTCAAAAACTAGGCATGGGCAGTGGAAAGGGGACTGGACTAAACTTTGATTGACTCCGTCTTTAAGTAAGGAAGCAGGAGACAGCCCACGCTTTGGATTCTCCAACCCGTACAACTGAGAAAATACAAAATTCTAGTATTCCAAAAGACTGTAGCTCAAGCATAATTAGAAGTTAGAAGCATGAAGCATTCTTAGTGATATGAGCAAGAAACTTTTAGTAAATTACAATCATGATAACAATGGTAAGAAATGATACTATGCTTACAATGTTGACTTACCAATTGCAATTTCTCCATTAGAAGCACCGCAATCTGTTGAGCTCACTTGACATCATGGCTCCATCATTTCAGACTGATGGCTGTGTAGAAATAAAGCCATTTTTTATTTGCACAGGTTTGCAGCATGGGATGTGTGTCATCCTTGGAGACTGTTAGATAACATTTTGGGAAACCGAAAAGAATTGTTTAGCTCAGATTGTTTAGCAACATAAGGAAAGACACCGGGGGATTGTTCCATATCAAATTAACCATGACTTGATTCACTTTTGCAGGGAACCTTGAGAAGATTTTCATGTAATTTTCTTAAAGCATTAAAGCCATTCTAGCATAAGAAACTTGGATATATAATTTTTGGTCAAATGTCATCCTGATTCATAAATCACGCACTCTGAAATATAGGATGTGTAGCAAATTGTGAAATATATATTTTACAACTTGCTACACTTATATAGATAATAATAGAATGTAATAAGAGCATATTAAGCTATTTTACAGCAATTTGTTACGCAGACTGGTACAACATGACCTTCTTAACCTGGCACCTTTTTTTACTATATTGGGCAACAATTTGGCACTTCCCTAGCCAATCAGTTGGGGGTAATCTTTCTACATTGATAGGCAGATTTATCCAAGGTTTCAGATTTTCCCCCGTTCTACTTGGAGATGCGAGAGGCAGAATCTGGGATTTCTGGATGTACAGGATATGCTTTGACACTAAAGTGCTGTCCATCCTCAAAATAGGTATATGGTAAGGTAACAAGAATGTGCTTATTTTGCAGCTGCAAATTTGCTTTCATGTTTGCATCACTTATTGAATATCTTAAAATCCTGAAATGAACATGCAAATAGTTCATCACTGAATGGGCTGAATGCAGATTTAACCAAAATAAATCCAAGATAATTACCTGGAAAAACTAGTTGGACCAAACCAATGGGACTATTCAAACCTGGAACTGATGCATTAAATTTAAAACAAAAGATTTACAATGCTACATAATAAAAAAAATACCTTTGCCCCATGAGAAAAGCTTGACCTTGATGCTGTGCAATCTTGAAGTTCAGCATTCCAAGTCACACACCGAAGAGGGCCCAGCAAGAGGGCAACAATTTAGCACATCATATTTTTAAAAGCCAGCACATCTTTAGGGCAATACATGTCATGAAGGAAGCTGCTCCCAAAGATGATGTTCAAATTGAAAGCTGTAAATTAAATAGCACACATCAGGGGTAGAGATCAGCTTCAGCTTCTTCGAATATGAAAAAAAATAATTTTTCCCTTTATGGCATGGGTAGTCTCTTTATAAAAGAAGTACAGTTACAATAGAATAATATTCATTTGTTTATATTACTCAGAGAGGGAAGAGATCATAGTTTAAAGTTTTTACATTTGGAAATACTCTTCACATTTCAATATTTTTGGTCCTGACTTGGGGCTACAGCAATTGATACCAAAGTATGTGATAATCCTGTGAAACAGTCCCTCTAAAAGTATGATTTTTCTACAGTACATTAATTTATCCATAAAGCTGTGATTATTAACCTACATAATTAAACTATGGAAATATATCTGTTTCATTTAGTATCCAATAAACCTACTTTTCAGTTTCTCATCTGTTTAGAAATTATTGTCTTTCAGCAGTTTATGTACACGACTTTCTATTTGTCATATATTCAAGGTAGCAACACCTTTTTCCATTTTGAGTAAAATATGTGGTTGTTTTTTCACTATAAACATATCCAAAATAAACTCAATCACTTCACATTTTGTTCCCAGTGCAGCCTACTGAGGTTATTAATACCATTGTTACCAAAGTCACAGCCATCTGCCCAACTGAGAGAATAATGTTCCATTTGGCCCTCTGAATCTTTACCATTTTAGTAGCCCTGGCTCTAAGCATAATTGTAAGAAAATACACATAAACTTTTTTTTTATAAATGCCTTTAAAAGAATAGCCTCTTCATGGTCAATTGTACAGATTTAATTATGCATTGAGCAACTGAAGATCAAAGAATTAGATAACATTTTGTGATTCTTCTTACCTAAATTTTACTTATACTAGATCCCAGGTGTATAGTATAAAACTATGTTTTATTGGCAAGGTCAACCCCAAAAACATCTATGGTGATGGGTGGGGAGAGTGGACGGAGGGAGAGGGGGGAAAGAGAGAGAGGGAGAGAGAAATTAATGGGGGGGGGTTTGCTAGAATTTTACTTTTTATATACTTTTCTGTATAGTTATACTACCCATATATATATTTGCTGCATTTTCATACCTCAATATAGTAATCATCCTATTGTTTAATTTTTTACACACAGAAAAAAGATCACTCTGTAAAGTCTGAAATATTAGTATATTGAAAAAACATACAATCACATATCTACAATTAATAACACCTTATCCCAAGGGGGCACAACAAGAAATAGATCTAAAAGGTTCTGTCCAACAAATATGGCTTCCTGCTAATCATGGGGAGATTTTATATATATATACATACATACATACAAATATACACACATGCACATACATACTCATATAAGAATGACAGTCAGTATAATGTAGTAGTTAATTAAGGTGCTAGACTAGAAGTGGCATCTAACCTTTCAGTCAGTCACTTTCTTTCAGCCCTAAAACAAGGGGTTAAAATAAAATCTACTGATCTGCACTGAACTTGCATGGTAGACTAAGGTCCATAATCTTCCATTAAGAGGCATTCAACTCTTGTGAGAGAAAATTCACTGAAGAAATATATCTACAATTGGAAGCCTTTTGTGGAATTTTTGCAGGAAATAAAAAAAATACAAATTATGACATATAGATTTGATCATTGCTAAAATTTAAATTTTTCATTTTTGGGCAGAACTGGGCATCACATTATAGTATTAAGCTTAGTGTTTAATGTGTTTCTTATAACCTTGGAAGAAGTTGGAAGTTATTCTTTATACATGTTTCCTTTCTTTTCTTTTTCTTTATAGCATTCTGCATTCCTATTTCTATCCACTTCTTTCCTCTTTATCTTTCTTCCTGGTGGTTAGTTCATGTTAGCTGTTTTTGTTTTGTAAAATAAAATAAAATAAAATAATTATGAAACAAGAGGCATTCATTCTGCTATGGACTGATTTGGGACTATTATTATCATTATAATGAAGATACTAGACACAGCAGAAATTTAAATTTAACCCTATATGATTCAAATACCATTATCAAAATCAAACAAATCAGTATTTAGTTACAAGTCCCATTCACAAAAGAGCTTAAAGTACATGAACTGAATCCCTAAATAAGAGTTAAACTATTTAATGTCCCCCAGATTTTTAGATTATAACTCTCATTAGTTTCAGAATTGTCGGGAATTATAAAAGTTGTAGCCAAAACATCTGGAGGGCAGCTTGTTATCTATTACAGTCCAAATCATATGAAAACACTGGTTTCTACTGTAACAGTTAAATTCCTCACTGCTTTAGATCTAGGTCTACATCTACCTAAGAGAGAAAGAATGTTTTGAATTACAAGAGGAATGTGGATTATCAGTCAACAAAAAGTCAAAACACATTATGTTTTGCCTGAAAAGGAAGGAAGACGTAGCTATTAAGAACAAATAGACCAAACTGGTTTATGTGTGTATGTTTTCAGTCTTAACTCTGGGAGACTGTCCAGAGAAGTCCCTGCAGAAGTCCTTGACAAGAATTTTTTAAATTGTTTAACATGGCCTGTTTCCTAGAGCTGAGAGTGTGTGACTGGCCCAAGGACACCAAGCTGATTTTGTGCCTAAGGCAGGAGTAAAACTCAGCTACTTCCAGTTTTTAGCCTGATGCCTTAACCACTATACCAAATTGGCTCTCTCTATCTCCTAAATAGAGAAGTATTATTAAAGGAATATGCCTTGGGAAAACAATATAAGGATGACACATGTTATGTTACATTACATAGCTTAGGTTATATCATATTTCCATTATTTGGACTACTGAGTATGTTTTTCCTCTCTTTCAAATAATCTGGTATATTACAAATCTAAGTGTTCTAATACTTAATGAGTTGACTCTACAATCATTTTAATCTCTGAGTTAGAAGGGGACATTTAATTCCCTGATCAGTGAAAGTTAATAACTGAAATAATTCAATATTCACAATTTATTGTTTAAATTATATATCAATAGCATTTCTACCAACCCAATGAACGCAATCACTGAATTCAAGACCGGGAAGAACAAACTGCATAAAATTCATCTATCAACCAACTTCTCAAAGCTCTTTTAATTTGCATACTCCCAAGTTTTTCACACTGCCTTAAACTACATGCTGAAGCACAGATTTGTTCAGTAATTGAAACATGAAGAATGGGAGAATTCTGAAAAGCATTGTGGAAAATCAGTACAATTTTGATAACCTTCCAGGCCCCTACTTAAAAGCTTGTAATTTCAGCCCAGATTGTACACCATTTAAGAACTCCTTGGTAAGGAAGTATATGTCCCATTAAGAGTTCTTACAAGATTTTGGGCAATGAGCTAATAAAACACAAGTACCCTATAATTAGCCTTCATGCACATCAAAATCCTTTCTTGTTCAGATATGTTTTCCTCCAGTACGTCTCTCCTCAAATCCTAATTGGAGCACCATTTTTCATTTTAAATCTTCACTCTTTAACTTTCTAAAGTTCTCATGACTCATACAATTGTATATTGTATTGAAGGATTCAATTTATCTCTCAACCTATTCTTACCACATACTTCAAAGGAGAAGATCTTCCAATATAATGCATTTGAGAAACCAGACAAAGGCTTATCCAGTCCTAACAAGTACCTTAATTTTCAAATACTTTTCTTTTAGCCTGGATCTATATAAACAAAGAGCAAAGGAAAGCATTACAGTATGATATATAGGAGCCAGGGAAACAGGAAATCCATTGTGTCACTTTTCAGCTTTAAATCTGAGAAACAGAATTGCACAAAGCCATCAGTAGAGAGCATGTACCAACTTGAAGATTTAGTTTTGGTCACCCTGTATTTAATTCATCAGCACTGCAAAGAGTCTAAAGGACATGAAAATACATATAGCTCATCTGCCTGAGAATCATTTGAAAAAGGAATACACAAATTCTCCAAATATTAAGCACCACCATTTCCAGCAGTTGTAATCCAATATATCTGGATGTTCAATGAAGATAAATCTTCAACCAAGATTAAAAGTCATACATCGTAGCTTATGCACTAACTTTAGACAAAGTGTTATTTCTGAACTGGTGTGGAAACCATATTTATTTGTATGTTAGCCATCAAGAGAAACTGAAGAAGAGTTTGCCATGAGATATTTACATAGCCAGTTACTGAATCCTGCTAAAGAACTGTACCAAATAAAATAAGATGACACAGGGCATTCAGTCAATCACTTCAAAACTTGGAAGAGGATAGGAGAAGCTACTAGTACAAAAGGAAAATGGATATACTTCCCCACTAGTATAATATATCCTCCTGACGGAGGGAAAATCTTAATAAAAACACTTCATTTAAGTATTGCATGTGAAGCAAGAACTCTTGACTTGTTGTTCTCAAATACGTTAAGAACTGGAAGCAAAGAATCAAACACTGATGTCAAAATCCAGATTGTTCAGATTGCATGCTGACATAGGGACTGGGCTTCCTGTTGTTGTTTTTAAAATACTCCTGCTGGGAGGAGTCAAGAAGGAACAATCAAATGGACTGCACAAGCATGTAAAGTAAAAACAACTAAAAGTTGCATCTTTAACTAAATCAAGCATTTTTAACCCATCTCACTAAGACACAGACACATAGACTCCAATCTTCCTACGGAAGCAAATGGTATTATGCCTTAACTTGTTTTAAATACTAGATTCTACAGGTTTGCAGAGTGGCAGTTCAACTGGTTATGTCTCTGTAATTATTCATGTCACCTGTGACCTAAAGAAAACACACAAATGCACACATACATAGAAATATTATGCGTGTACTTATACAATCTCAAAATGTTTTAGACAGTAGTATTATAAGACCACAGAAGTGATTCACATATTTGGTATGTTTGCTATACTACTTGTTCACATGCAAAACATGTTGATCTATATGCTTCTCTAAAAAAGTAGGGAATAGATTACTTGTAAAGTATGAAAAAATGAGCATAAATCTACCTTTTGAGACCGGCAACCTAGCCCTAGAGACCAATACATATAAATAGCAATTCTCAGCTT